TGACCATGCTGTGTATATATATATATATATATTTGCTTTTATCTACTCATTACGTGACACGAGAGGGAGCTACAAACAAGTGAAAGAGTTAGATTTGAAACTTGCTACCCGATGGAACATTTGGGTTGAATTGAGGAAACTGGAATTAATTTAGTTACAGTTTGAGACGAAAACTTCAATACAAAGTTTGGCATTAGAAGTGTATACACGTCATCAGCCGTATGTTTCTTCATCACAACTATTGTTATACAGATAAACTGTCGTATGTTAACAGTTGCGGAATGAACTTTGCAAACACATTCAGAGTTTTATAAACAAAACTAACACTCCTTTGTGTCATGAGAGGGCGGTACAGGTTTCGGTTTTGTTTACAATTACTCTGATGTTGAACTAATCGGACAGAACTTACTGGAGCTCGAGGTTTAGTAATTGGGTGAAACAGCCCGGCAAAAAAAAAGGGGGGGGGTTATATCGCGTGACAAGCGGGACAATAAGTTTAATCGTTATTTCTTTGCCCGTTTAACAAACATTATTAAACGTCATTTACATTCCTTTGCTAAAACCAAAACACTTCAGATAAGAGTTCTGGAGAGGCACGCAAGTTCTCGAAAATTTTTAAATGCGGAAATTTAGCGTTTAAAAACGTTTACCTTCTGCTAAACCTCAAACCAAAACCAGAGGCGTCGGAACTGGGGGGTGTTGTAATACCTCCACTTTTACATATCTGACTTATATAATAATCGTAAGTTATATTATTATATTAACTTTCTGGGGAGGGCATGCCCCCATGACCTCCTAGACTGAGCTCCGTTTAGCAACCGCTTATACTTTCAATCTCTCATTGTAAAATCTGCATGTCTAGCCAAGCACCTCCACTTTGTAACTCCTTCCTACACCACTGGAGACAAATATAAGTAATCCTTGAAACTCACAAACCTCCAGTCACATGCACAGTAACACACGTATTTGAATAAATGCTTTTGTTTGTCTGCTTGTCGTTAGGTGCAAAGCTACAGAATGGGCTGTCTGTGCTGTGCCCACTAAGAGTATCGAAACTCGGTTTTTAGCGGTGTGAGCCCTCAGACTTAGCGCCGAGCCACCAGAGGGCTTTGAATTAATGCAGATATATGATTATATATTCCTTTTGTTCAATTGTTTGTTTGTTTTCGAAGTTAAGCACAAAGGTACACAATGGGCTATCTGTGTTCTGCCCACCATGGGTATCGAAACCCGGTTTCTAGCGTTGTAAGTCCGCAGACATACCACTGGGGAGCCTTTTTTGTTCAAAGTACAAGCATTGTATTTTGATGGGTATAGAACATTTTGTCTAAAAAATAAGAGATTTTCTAGCGGAATTTATGCATGGCCAGGTGGTTAGGGGGCGCTCGACTCGAAATCTGTGGGTCGCGGGTACGAATCTCCCTCACACCAAACATGCTCGCCTTTTCAGCCGTGGTGGCGTTATAATGTGACGCTCAATCCTACTATTCGTTGGTAAAAGAGTAGCCCAAGAGTTGGCGGTGGGTGCTGATGACTAGCTGCCTTCCCTCTAGTCATACACTGTTAAATTATGGACAGCTAGCGCAGATAGCCCTAGTGTAGCTTTTGGCGAAATTCAGAACAAACAAACAAACAAATATCTATCTCGTTTTGTGGTTTACTTTCCTGCTATAGCTTTGCGCTAAATCCATAACAAAGAAATTTCTTGGCTTTTCACATAATTTGTAACGGTTTCTATAATAAAAAGTACATTTCCTAGCATTTGTTGTTTTATTTTTCTTAGGTAAAAGCTGTAAAAAATATCAGGTTTTCTGAAAATGTAAAAGTTTGATAAAAAAAGCGTTTCGCGTCTACGTGTTATATATATATGCATGATTACTCACGTTCGTTTTTTACTCTAAACAGCTGGTAGTAGACGAAGAGTAGAACAAAAACGAATCTGTGTTTGAGTGTTTCTCATTTTGTGAATTGGACACCTTTTCAAACCATGTATAAGTATTGTTATTTTTTATAATTTCTAATCAAACACTCTGCGTCTGCGTACAGTATCTTTGCGACGTATCTGCTATATAACGCATTTAATACAGATATTATGATAAACATGAATTATGGATTTCAGTACTGTTTCTCTTATCTTCACCCTTAGAAGCAAGAAAGATGAAAAAAAAACACGTATAAACGCGCCAAAAGCAAATTGAAGAAATCCATTATTTATCGGAACCACTGTCAACGTTCTTAAACCTAACTTGTCCAATAACACATACTTTACTGAACAAAAAAAGTTAGGCTTAACCAATAACACCTAATTTACTGAACAAAGTTAGGCTTAACCAATAACACCTAATTTACTGAACAAAGTTAGGCTTAACCAATAACACTTACTTTACTGAACAAAGTTAGGCTTAACCAATAACATTTACTTTACTCAACAAAGTTAGGCTTAACCAATAACACTTACTTTACTCAACAAAGTTAGGCTTAACCAATAACACTTACTTTACTCAACAAAGTTAGGCTTAACAACCACGGGTTCTAGGCTCTTCATGAATATGTACCAAGAATTTTACTTTTACGTATGAGGACCTCTCGCCTAACGTTTTGCGCTCTCCCCACCCCCTCTATTGTTTTCTATTAAAACTATTTTTCATATCCTCACTTCATCTTTTTCCCCTTGTGGGGTTACATAGTTTGGAGCCCAATTCAAGATCCACCCAGTGTCAGTTCTTCTGCCTCTGTTTCCGCCTACAGAGTTGTATTTATCACAAGCCAGTGTCAGCTACCGGGATAAGGAAACGCCTAAATCTAGAGATAGGCAAGAAAAAGAATAATAGCAGTATTCTTTATTGATATACGAGCACGATCGTCTCACCACCTGGCGTCAGAAAAGTTTAAATTTAGTTCAATCAAAGACAGATATATTACTGAACTTTGTGGTGGTGCTTTGAAAATGTAGTGATAAAAAAAAAAACAACTGTCGCTACATCTGTTCCACAAGCAACTAAAATTAATAAGAATATGTACTTTTTTTTCCTCCAGAAAACGTGATAACCAATATGGTTGCCAATCAACGTGTCTCCATAAACATTACTTTTTGGCTGTACTCTTAATAATGTCCTATTTCACGACTGCACTACCGAACAAGTAACATGTAGCAATTTGTTTCAAATGCTACACATCCCTCTAAAATTACACCGTCAAAGCTGTTTAATGCTTTATTGCAATAATGTTTTATTGGTCTTACGACGTTTATAGGGATGGTTCTGGAAATTTCTGCTTGAAGTGTTTATATTGATATTACGTAGTTTTGAAGCTCATTATACCTGGTATAATGCGTAATGCAGCATTTTAACGTTGCTATTAAAATACTTTTTTACGGACGTTTCTAGTCAGTAGTAGGACGTTTCGCATATTTCTTAGAAATCAATTGATATTTATCATAGATAGAGAAACTTTTTTTTTCCTGCGACGAATTTTGTTTTCAATTTCAACAGCATTCAAACATAAGTTGAATCGTGATTCGATAGTTCTCCCCTCCACGGAGTTTATTTTACATAGTTACCAACCACAGCACGGACGGACATATTGTCACGTTAATAGTCTATATGTAGGAAGAGACGGTTCTTTACTAACCTGTGTGTGTAGGAAGATGTGGTTCTTTACTAACCTGTGTGTAGGAAGAGACGGTTCTTTACTAATCTGTGTATAGGAAGATATGGTTCTTTACTAACCTGTGTGTGTAGGAAGAGACGGTTCTTTACTAACGTGTGTAGGAAGATGTGGTTCTTTACTAACCTGTGTGTAGAAAGATATGGTTCTTTACTAACCTGTGTGTAGGAAGAGACGGTTCTTTACTAACCTGTGTATAGGAAGAGACGGTTCTTTACTAACCTGTGTATAGGAAGATATGGTTCTTTACTAACCCTAACGTGTGTAGGAAGAGACGGTTCTTTACTAACGTGTGTAGGAAGATATGGTTCTTTACTAACCTGTGTGTAGGAAGATATGGTTCTTTACTAACCTGTGTGTAGGAAGAGACGGTTCTTTACTAACCTGTGTGTAGGAAGAGACGGTTCTTTACTAACCTGTGTATAGGAAGATATGGTTCTTTACTAACCTGTGTGTAGGAAGAGACGGTTCTTTACTAACCTGTGTGTAGGAAGAGACGGTTCTTTACTAACCTGTGTTTAGGAAGATGTGGTTCTTTACTAACCTGCATGTAGGAAGAGACGATTCTTTAATTACCTGTGTGTAGGAAGAGATGGTTCTTTAGGTTGGTCTGCTTGCTAAAGCCTCGGTTGCAAGTATGACACTTGAAAGGCCACGAACCGTTATGGACGTACATATGGCTCTTCAGGTCACCAGGTGTAGGAAAGGATTTGGCACATATTGTACACTTGTGTGGCTTCTCCTGCAAAAACAAATCTGTATCTTAGTAACGTTCTCGTCGGCAATCAGGCCTAGTAGATCGTATAAAAGTGATTTTATTCTTCAGATAAACAAAGCTCAGTCTACTCACAATAATTACAGAGTATAGTAAGCTTAACTGTCCACAATAAATAAGCAGTATATAACTCTAACTCTTGAAATAAAGATGGTCAAATATATTATTTTATTCCAGTCATATTTAGAGGCTTTGTACTGAATCTGGGGGATATTAAGATAATTAGCATGATTTCTAGACAATCTAATGTCACCGAAACATCCTAAACGTTTCTTCTCATAATGGGAAGAAATAAAATAAATATTTAATAGAACAAAAAGAGTCATAAACAAATATGTGGACAACTTTCATGAAGGGCAATATATCCTACACAATGAACAACTTTCGTGAAGGGCAATATATCCTACACAATGAAAATTATAGTACTACAAAACCCAGAGAAAATTACGTTTAATATAAAGAAGTCACAGACTTATTAGGAAAGTACTTTAACAATGGTTTCTATAAGTCACAGTAAGTACTCTAACAATGTTTCTATAAGTCACAGAAAGTACTTTAACAATGGTTCTATAAGTCACAGTAAGTACTTTAACAATGTTTCCATAAGTCACAGAAAGTAATCTAACAATGTTTCTATAAGTCACAGTAAGTACTCTAACAATGTTTCTATAAGTCACAGAAAGTACTCTAACAATGTTTCCATAAGTCACAGAAAGTACTTTAACAATGGTTCTATAAGTCACAGAAAGTACTTTAACAATGTTTCCATAAGTCACAGAAAGTACTCTAACAATGTTTCTATAAGTCACAGTAAGTACTCTAACAATGTTTCTATAAGTCACAGAAAGTACTCTAACAATGGTTCTATAAGTCACAGAAAGTACTCTAACAATGTTTCTATAAGTCACAGTAAGTACTCTAACAATGTTTCTATAAGTCACAGAAAGTACTCTAACAATGGTTCTATAAGT